GCGGATCGACCCTTCATATTTGCAGTGCTTCACTTGCCGACCAAGACACTCATCTTCGTCTCGCGCGTCAACTGTATCAGTTAGTAACATGGAGTGGAGTGGGGTAAGTGAAAACAGGTAGGTGGTACAAAAGCAGGATGGTGTGTTTGGTGGTGCGAGTGGTGTGTTTGGTGGTGCGTCCGCTGGTGTGCATGGTGTGGGTTTTTAGTGAAGGTCTCAATTCGACGTGGGTTTTTAGTGAAGGTCTCAATTCGACACTGGTATTTAAGAACACATTCGTGTAAGTCCCACGTTCATTCAAATCCTCATGAATCCCCCCTTGTTGTGGAGAGCCGCAAAGGAACGGCGTGTCGATGATGTACGGCAGCTGCTCGGGTTGCATCGGAACCCGGAAGAGAAAGCAGGACCGAAGCAAACCACTGCACTACACGAAGCCATATTATCGTCTTCTCGTGACTGTGTGGTGATGTTGCTTGATCACCATGCGAACATAAATTGTAGAGACGACATCGGAGAGACGCCTTTGCATTATGCTATTACGGAACATAACACACCGCTTGCAGTTCTGCTTCTTGAACGCAACGCGGATGTTGCGGTTGCAAGTCACGACGGCACAACACCGCTACACAGCGCGGTAAGTTGCAAACACGACGAAATCTTGACACGTCTGCTGCAACACGGTGCCTCCACAACGCTTACAGACACTGGAGATCTCAGCCCAATTCATATAGCCATTCTTCGGGGTGACTACGCTGTTGTAGAATTACTCTTAGATAACTGTACAGAGCTCGGGTTCCGTGACAACAGATGGCACACGATAGTACACTGGGCTACCATCATTGCATCTGAATGCAACCCCACAATCGATATGCCTGGTGCCTCAAATGCGTTGCATATTCTGAAACTCGTCGTAAACCGATGCAACCTACTCTCTGATAGAGACAAAAAAGGACAGACGGCGTTATACAAAGCCGCCGCGTGTCCGATGGGCAACTTGCACACAGTAGAATATTTATTTCACCAGGGGAGTGGTTATGTCACAGACTTGAATGGGCGGACACCCTTATACGCCGCAGCGTCACAAGGCCGCTTGAAAATCGTCGAATTTCTGCTCGGAAAAGGGGTCCATGTGTCGACACCGGACATCGCTGGGACGACACCTCTGATAATGGCTGCATTGGAGGGCCGCCAATTTGTGGTATGTGCCCTACTCCACCACGGCGCAGCTGTCTCATTACAGAATAGATTGGGTCTCTCTGCTTTACACGCAGCAGTGGAAGGAGGACACGAGGATGTGGTACGCCTGTTGATCCAACACGGGGCGGATGTCAATCCCACCACAGAGCCTCAAAAACAAACCCCTTTGCATTATGCTGCGCGAAAAGGCAACTCGGTTATAGCACATATTTTACTTCGCCGTGGGGCAGACCCTAATGCACACTCATCCGACGGAATTACCCCGTTGGAATTCGCGGTGCATTTCGGACATCGCCGTACCGAGGACGTGATCAAGGCAAACATCATATACAGGCAAAGGTGTGAGGCGTTTGGCATGGGACAGCTGAATCGGAATGGACAACGTTCAAGAGTGCACGATCTTACCCCAGAGATAATGAAGAAAGTGATCAGGGAAGTTAGAAAGCATTGATACAGGGGTATCTGGGCGTTATACCCACACGAATTCAATCTGATAAGTGTCTGTTTGTTTGTGAAGTTTACCAATGTGAAGTATTAAAGGTGTTGCGTCGGTACTCGACAACTTGTGAACACGAATGCCTGGACGCGGTCGTGGAGCAGGTGCAATGCAGCAGGGGGGCAATCCGGGGACACAGCCAGGGCAATGGGTTTTCCAGCAAGGGCCGGGACAGCAGGGACAGCAGGGGCAGTATTGGGGCCCACCGTCAACCAACCCGCCCAACGCAAACACCACAGGTAAAGAAAACCAGAATCAAAACCACAATCAAAACCAGAATCAAAACCAGAATCAAAACCAGAATCAAAACCAAAATCAAAACCAGAATCAAAACCATAATCATGGGGGGAATAAGCACAAGAATCCGAATCATGGCGGTTCCGATATTAGCCCGACGGACATAAGGATTGATCTTGTAGTTGATGCCATTCTGGCAATGTCACTCGCATTGAAAACCAATGGTTCCAACGAGATACAGAAGGCATGCAGCAATGTTTGGGACGAAATCAATCGCGTGAAGACAGAGAGAGACGCGACGATAAAGCAGGCAGCAGACAAGCAGGATGAATATGAGCAGCATCGCAAGACAATGGCGGACGTACATGCGGATGTTAAATATTGGGAAGATCAAGTCAGGAAAGATCCTTTGAGTCGTGACAAGAAGCATAATCTTGGAGTTGCAAGGGGGAATCTGAAAAAGGAGACAGACAGGGAGATGCTGTCAAAAAAACAGGAAACTTTGGCAAAGGCAGAGAATCAATGCAAATTGGCAAAAATTGAGTTCGATAAAATGCATGACGGAGCACCAAAGGTTGATTATATTGCTACTTCGGGCCAATGCAGTAATACCCGCGTTGAGATGGGGGTTGCGGTCAGTTCTGACACGGATGATGATGATGATGATGATGATGAGGATGAGGAAGATGACGATGATGGAGATCAGTCCACATAATCAGTTCGCAGCCATCGAGCAGGGTAGAAAGAGAGAAACACCAGACTCTATGTCAGCAAAAGTAGAGTGGGTCAGAGAAGGTGTTGGAGTATAATAACAACAAATTTATCCAACGTTTCATTGCCCCAACTTAGCTAGCATGCAATTTATTTTGGTCTCTCCTCGAGATAAAGAGGACCTCGAATGCGACTGCGAGTGGTGTGACTAGACATAGAAACACCGTCTGCTCGATCCTGTCTATGAGCATACCACACGCCGACGCGACGACCGATGCGGTAAGGATGCTGCGCAGGTTGTTGTGGTTTTGGTGTTGGCAATGCACCCACGCGGTGAATGTGGAGATGGTTATGAAGAGGGAGAGCGAATGTAGGAAATCTATCGGACCGGGAAAACCAACCCCCCTGAAAGCGGAGGGTGTTTCGTGGACCAACATGAATAGTAGCACAATTGCAGTGCGGAACGTGGCCATACCCACGGCCACGGACTGTCCGAGCAAGACGGTAGGAATCGCTCTGACGATAGAACCAGGCAGAAATCGGTACAACTGTAGCAATAGATACGGCGGGTCGCAGGTGTGTGCGTGCGACGCAGTCCAGATGGTGTGGTGTACAGACCCGACAATGAACAGCAACCAGTGCATAGCTATGCGGTAGCCGTCCCGTTCTATCGTCATACCACTGACGAACTCGTCGGACTGCTCTTCAGACTTCAGGGTCACAGAGCGAGCTGCTGTGAATGTGAAGAAGGCGGTGGCGTACAGCGCGGAACAGGCTGCGAGAGAGTCTGGGACGCGTATGTAGATGAGAGGCAGGAACGTCACGACGGTAAAGGGCATGACCCCCCCACTTCCAGTGTGTCTTGAGATGGCGGTACAGCAGGTAAAGAGCCACCCTGCCCGGAAAAGCGGGCTCTCGCAGACACCGAGTTTTGTGTGTAAATGTCGGCTACGTGGGTGTATGAATAGATTTCCTATAAAGACCAAGAGCGCTATGCCCATGACCGTGATACCTGTCATGAAATTGGGCGTCTCGTCGTGGTATGTGATTCTGAGGATGTTGTCTGTTAGGGGTGTCACCCAGAGGTAAATCACAAACGCGTCCAACACAAGTGGGGTCACGCCATCACTCCAGAGTTCTGTGAAAGAAACCATGGAAACACACACGAGGGTTGAAAACACACACGAGGGTTGAAAACACACACGAGGGTTGAAAACACACACGAGGGTTGAAAACACACACGAGGGCTGGGTCTGTCTGATTTTATATACAAACACCCCTCTAATCCGCTACCACCCCTAGACTGCAGCGTTCAACAACTCATTCATGACTTCCTGCACGATCGCTGCTTTCATTGACTCTTCATCTCGCGAAGTTCGCGCCTTGATTTTTTCCTCGAGGCAAGCGTTTTGGTCCTCTAACGCACATGACCGTGTACTAGAAATTTGAACTTGACGCTTGCTTTCGAGCAGAGCTGTGGAGGTAAATTTGAGTTCTTTTTCAAGCGTATCGATTCGCGTCTTGTGCGACGCCTCGGTCTGCTTCACGCCTTGCTTGAAGTCTGTGTGTTCATCTTGGAATCGCGCACTTGTCTTGTCAAACTCAGCGTGGGCTTTGGTAAGTACTTGCTCTTGCTCCACAGACTGCTTCTTGAGGGAGTTCACTTCTGCATGCGCTGCGGTTAACCGTTGGTCCGACGCGTCGACAAGCTTCGCACAGGCTACCTCGACGGCCGTGCGTTCATTCTCAAATATCACACCACGTTGGTCAAACCCAGCCTGGGCTTTGGTAAATACTTTCTCTCGTTTTGCAGACTGCTTTTTGAGAGAGTTCAATTCTGCATGCGCCTCGCTCAGTCGTTGGTCGGACGCCTCGACAAGCTGCGCACAAGCTGCCTCGAAGGCCGTGCGTTCATTAGCAAACAGCGCACGGGTGTTCTCAAACGCAGCGTTGTTCGCGATAACGGCATTCTCTCGCTCGGCAATAGCATTCTCTCGCGCCGCAATTTTATCAGTGCGCAAGCAAAGGTCTTTCGACTGCATTCGGATGGATGCTCTCATCTGGTCGATATCACCGGATGAGTGGTCTACCATCCAACGTTATTGGTGTATGCACCCGTTCTCAAATAGTTATCCTGTACACGTCCTTAAATAAACGAGAGCATCGACACGGGTTCGGTTTTCTGAGTGCTGGTCTGGTAACGTGTTTCTCGCAGCACTCGAACCAACCCCCTATATACCCACAAATGTCGGTATATTTCCACCGACTGTATTACAATGTGACCATGGGTGATTGGCTAAGACCGCCTCCCCGAAGAACTACAGTGGTTAGTCCTGGGTTCGATTCCCGAGACAAACAAGGGCGTGTAGCTCAATTGGTAGAGCGCTCCACTTATTATGGAGAGGTTTTCAGATCGTCCCTGAACATGCCCATATCTTTTTGCATCCATTTACTTACACACAACACCACACCCACACATAGGAAGCCTAGAAGACTGCCAGTTTTTGTTCTAACGAATCTAGCGTCATCAAACGACGCGGACGCATCGTCTCGCACTGGGTCCCGATGTCAACGGCATCGGCTTTCCTCTTGTTCGACACAGCCTTGTCTTTGAAGTTAGGTGGCAGCGTTGCGTAGGCAGCGTCCCGCGCATCCTTCTGTGACTCGTTCATGATGGGAGTGCGTCTAGGTCCTTGATTCACGTTGCACTTTGTTCCCCGGGTACCGGCTGTGATAGACACGACAGCGTCTGTGACTTGGGCGTCGGCGGTCCTTTTGACTACAGCGACATTTTTCATGATCGTTATCCCAAACATGAATCGGAGATTCTTGTCGTCGGTTCTTGTGATATATGTGAGATCGCACTTTCTGAGGACCAGCGAACTATGGCCCACACCGGACACTTTCCACAGCCTCTGTGACCCTACCTCCAGAAAGTCAAAGAAGAGTTGGAAAGCACTCTCAAGAGTTGTTACATCTGCGTATGTATCGAATGCCCCAATAGGACAGTAAACCAATCCAAGCCCCTTGAATGCTTCATCTGTATACTTGAAGTGTTGGCCGTTATCTCCATTGGTCAGGATGGGTGTATTCGTATTGTTTCTAAGCAAAAACCGGATAAATTCTGCCTTGGACTCCCCAGTCGTAGCACAACCTCGAGACATTAGTGCGTACATCGCAGAGTTAGATTTCCCCTCCCAGAAGGCTTCGCGGAGTGTCAGGCCACCCAATGCATCGACGATTGTGCGGCCCACCGCAGACGAGGTGTCGTCGAGAAGTTCGAGGATGTACTTGAACGCATCGAAATCTGTTAACGATGCTTCGCCGATATCGACACCGTTTTCTTCGATGAACGCATGCGCTTTGTCCAATTTCACCTTCGTTGCTATGATTGCATGTTCGGCTGCCCGGGCTTTGTTCCTCGCCTTGACCTCCGGGATCTCTCTTTGTATCTTGAGCTTCGCCTTGTTCTCTGGAAGGGCCCTCTGTGTATCTATCCTCTCTTTCACATCAGGAAGCAGCCTGTGATTCCTGGCAGATACACGTCCCTTCTCATACACTTTATCTGCGTTCTTTAGCATGACATGTTCTTCATAAGTCCGCTCGCGAGAACTCTTGTTCCGGATGTCGTCAATCCGCTTCTTCGCATCTGCTGTTCTCGTAACAGCAGATGATAACATGTCGTCCTTCTTCTGTAGCGTTTTGACGTCCTCAGTTGTTCGTGCATCGTCGGGTTTAAGCAATGCTGCACGAACAGTTTCCACGTGTGTGATACGGTTGCGGGCTTGATCATGTGCGTTCCGTAGTTTGTCGCTCCCGTCTGGGTTCTGTCCTGCCGCGTATCGCCATTCGTGTAATCGCACCTCTTCCGCTAGTTCCGGCTTCCACGTGGAAGGCGGTGGTTTCAACTCTCGTAGAGCACGCCCGCGATTAGCCTTCTCGAACTTGCACTGTTCATCGGGACTTCGCGCACTCTCTTCCTTGAGACCAATCACTCGAAGAGTCTCCTTGCGTTTGATAGCAATACGAGCCGTTTTGTGCTGAATTGCTGTTTTTGCGGTGCCGTCGGCATTCTCCCCTGCAGCATATTCCCAAGTGTGAACTCTCAAATCGGCCTCTAGTTCCAGTTTCCATGAGGCAGGGGGTGGTGCTACTGACATAGGCATAACACACTCTGATGTGTGCCCCTGTTTGCTTCCACACGATCGTGCAACGCGAGTGTCTGTAGACAGTAGAAGGTTTCGTTTTTGTGCATGATGAGACTCATCACAACACTCACGCAGCATTATTAGGTCAACGTAGACCACGTGTGTGTTTTATAAAAGAGCAGTTTCAAGAGTACGGTATCAGACTGCTTCCGTGCTTGCGGAATGGCGCAGGCATTGCCGGGGCCCGCCTCACTTTGCCAACGAAACAGAGAGCTAAAATTGCAGCGAGCCAGACTCGTCCAGTACACCGCGTCCTTGCATGCAACCACCAAGTGGCATGTAGGCGAGTCGCATAGGATCTGTGAGGACCTGTATTTACCAGATCCGTTCAGAACACGAAACGAGCTTCGTGCAAACCCACCACGCACCCACGCACCCACCCACGCACACACGCACCCGCGGACACAACCCTTTGGGTTGTGACCGATGACCGCTCCCACACAGCGATTTCCACGTCTGTGGCCACGTGTGTGGGTCTGTGGCCACAACCCGAAGGGTTGTGGGTCTGTGGCCACAACCCTTCGGGTTGTGGCGGAGGAGGGGTGCGGTGGTGGTGGTGCTGGCGGCAGTGGTGGCGGCGCGGCGGCGGCGGCGGTGGCTGTTCCTTCTCCTGTACCTGGTGTAGCGTTGAGGGTTTAGCGTCCAGCGTCTAGTGTCGAGGGTTTAGGGTCTGGGTTCAGCGTTGGGAGTCGGTGCAGACGACGACCTTCTTCTACGGCGCGTCGTCGTCGGTAGAGAGCGTGACGAAAACGCGTAGGCGGATGCTGCCGTCCGCGCGGAGTGAAGCCTTCTTCTGCGCCGTGGTGGGACTGAAGTTCACAGCGAAGGCCGGGTACTTGCCGAAACGTGGCGCTCTGGGTGCCGTGGCAGTCGCAAAGTCGCCGATGTGGTGGACGATCTTGTCGTCGGTTCCGAGCACATCAAACGACACATGTAGCTTGTACTGGTCGTTTGGTTTGTTCATGACGATCTTGATGCGGTGCGAATAGGGGACCCTGCCCGGCTCGAGTTGGCAGAACGCCGTGTCGTTGTGGAAGTGGCGGGAGGGGAAGGTGCCGCCGTCCCACCCTCCAGCGGCGGCCCAGTTGAGCACCCACGACTTGACGACGGTGGGGGCGTGCGGTTGCATCGCGAAACGTTGCTCGCTGTGGAGCGTCTTCGCCGCGACTGCGAGCTGCTGTGTGACGTCCGACACCACGCCCCACGGCAGGAGCGCCGGGTGGTGCTGCTCCATGTGCTGGCGGATGTCGTTGCGAGCGAAATCGATGTTGCATCCCACCACGCCGCAGTGGATGGTCTCGAAACGGCAGCTGTTGCGGTGGATGTTCATAGTCCCGTTGGCTCCGACAAAGGTGCATTTCTCGTTGGGGCACTTGCACTCCCGCCAAGCGCACAACTCCTCGTGTTGCCAGAGAGTGTGGCGGGTGGCGGTCGTATGGCACCATGTGCAGGTGGCGGGCGTCCTGACGCATGTCGCGTGGTGCTTGTCGAGCTCGAAGAGGTACATCGTGGAGAAGGTGCAGTTGAAGAGGCTGCACTTCACCTTGGACCAGCCGCACTGCACTGCATGCAGTGGGTAGTCCGCGACGGTGCCTTGCCAGGTACACCCCTGAAGCAGCTGCTTCGAGAGGGTGTCCCTGGACGCGGTGGACCTGCTGGGGTTATGCACGACGCCGCCGGCGTCGCCAGTCGCCGACCGTGCGTGGAAGGCGGCCTCCGTGCGCAGATCCTCGATGGACATCGTGCCGAACGGAGCGACCTTCGCGCGCTTCGCGCGCTTCGCCGAGCCGGCGGCAACGACGCAGCTGGTGCTGGCTGCCGCAGCTGCCGCAGCTGCCGCCCACGTCGGAATGTTCCTCGAGTTCTCGCATGAAAGTGTCTCGCGCTGCATGATGGCCTCGAGCAAACGGTTCCGCACGAAATCGGCGTGGTGGACCATGCTGCGGCAAGCGGGGCACCTGTTCTTGCCGGCGCCGGTGCCGGTGATGGTGCGGACATAGCACGCCTTGCAGTAGCAGTGCCCTTCTTCGCACGCGGATGTCGGCTCGTCCAACAGACAGCTGCAGATGCCGCAGATGTACTCCGGGACGCATGTCTTGAGAAGGTCGGGGTCAATTTCTACGGCGAGAGGAGGGGCCGAGGCAGTAAGAGGCGGCACGGTGGTAGCCGCCTGTACAGCCTTCGCATAAGCTGCTTCCGAGACAGCGCGCGCGCAGTTGAGCATCTCCGTGAACTTCATGCGGGCCATGAGGAGGAGGAGGCGTTGCTTGCTGGGTGGAGTCCCGCCGCGTTCCCTTTGTCCGCCAATGAAAAGTCAACTGATGAGTTGCCTTTAGAACATTTGCCATTTGAGCCATTCCTGGAATAATACTGAATGGCTCAAATGGCAAATGTTTAGAACATTTGCCATTTGAGCCATTCCTGGAATAATACTAAATGGCTCAAATGGCAAATGTTCTAGGACCTAAGGACATAAAAAAATAACTGGGCAACAGCTAACAGCCTTTCAAGCCTTTGTAGAGTTGGACAGTGTGGTCCCGGTCACTAGGTTATTTAAATGGAGCATGCTGTTTGGTGTACGCTGCATGAGGAAACGCGAACACTTTGAGATGGATATTTATCGAAGTCTGCTCGTTGCACAACAGATTTGAAATGGGGTGTGGTATGAGCACTACAAAAATATCCTCACAGACCGAGACCACCACGAACGAGGTGTGTTCTATTGTGATCCGTACCGCATCTAACGCATTGCGTGGGATTGATACTGGTCCCTTCAAAATGAACCCCGGTGAATACTACGTTGGTGATTTGTCGAACGTTGTCGACTATGTGGAGGAGTTAAGCGAAGCAAACTCGACCAGGCAAGGGCGATTTGATCACATTCACCATGAAGGGAGGTTTATTTTGACTAGTGGGCGCGAGATCGTCGTCTTCCACCTACCAAATGGCAATGGTCTGTATCCAGATGCGCAAGGGAGGACGTATCACATCAACGACGCTGGACACATCGGTCTCACCCCGACAAAGGGTCTCGAGGATGAGTATGTTGGGATTGAAAATTTTGAAGAATTGGTACTGAGAGGTGGCAACATCGTCGAATTTGATGAAACATTTGAATGTTTTTCAAACAAATTGAAACACCCGAAAGCAAGAGGGGGGCAGGTCGCTTTCGTGTGTTTTGGTTGCAAGGTCTCTATCAACACAGACCTACAATTTGAACCACC